GGCTGAGCCTGGGCTGGGAGGGAGATGCTGGGAGGAGAGAAGGTCCAGGGACCCTCCCCTGGGTGCCCCCCCCTTTGCAGGAGGTGTGGTAGCACAGCTCAGGACTGGGGTGTGTTTTACTGGGCTGGGGTTTGGCCTCTTTTTATTGCTTGATTGGTTTTCCCCTGGTGCTGCAATTTCCTTGCTGGGCTCAGCTGGAGCACGTGTGCACCATCCTGCTTCCAGGTCCTTGCTGAGCCCATCAGGGCAGCAGCATCTGGCCCCTCTCCAGTGTTCCCAGGGCTCAGCATGTGTGTGTGGAGGGGGTGAGGAGCTGGGTACCAGCCAACCCCTCTGCTCCCACCACGCCAGGCACCCCTGGGCATCCCAAGGGAGCTGCTGCAGCCACAGGACAGACCAGACCCTCACTCAGGCTGAGCCACCTGCTCCAGCTCCACCATCAACTGGTAGAACTGGAGAAATCCCACCCCCCAGTACAGCTTTTTCTGGGGTTCAGCCACTTCGATGGAGTCTTAAACCTGGAGAAGAGGAAGAGCCACCCCAACTCGTCCCCTCCTGATGGGGCAGGAGGTGCTGCAAGGTCCTCTCGCGTGAGGGAGCATCCCCAGGCCACCCCCTCCTTCCCCTGGGAAGGGAAATGCCACGAGCACTTTTCCTCCCATCCCTTCCTCATCACGAAACCCGACACGGGCTCCGCTGGGGAGCTCAGCATCCAGGGCTAAATTGAAACAATCTCTTTGCCACCCCCTTGTCCCCCCAGAGAGGCCAAAAAAGCATTTCCTGCTGCCTCTCGTTCAAAGGCCGCGTCGCCGGCGTCTCAGGCCCCCTAATAAGACATGTCAGTTGCTTTTGGTGAAGTGTTTTGATTTGGAGGGAACCACATTTGTTGATTTTTTTAATTATCATTCTTTTTTTTTTTTTTTTTTCTTTTTCCCCCCACCCCCCACAGCAGACAAGTTGTTTTCCTTTGAACTTCATCCAAACCCAGTGTAGCAGGGGATGCTTTGGGGGCTGCCAGGAGGGAGGCAGAGCAGCCCTGCCCAGCCCAGTGGGGCCACCAGGAGATGTCCCAGGAGGGGGAATTTCCTCCTTTAGCATCACTCCCAGGCTGCTCCAAGGCAGGAATTGCCTTTTTTTCTCCTATTTATGTTTGTTGTTTGGGTTTTTTTCAGCAGACTTGGCTGCTTGATGCTCAGGAAAGGGAGGTCAATCCCATCCTTGAGCTCTCCAGGGCAATGCCCAGCTCTGAGTGAGGAGAAACAGGGTCTGGCTTTGTGGGGGTTGCTGTAACAGGGGGGTTAGAGACCTGCTCTGGGTTCAGGGAGCCCTTTGGTTTCATCTTGGTTTGCTTTTATTTCCAGGCAGCAGTAGAAGGGTAAACCCACCTGTGGGAAACCACCCTTGGTCCTTGCAGGGAGAAAAACGTGGCCCCGAAGGAACCACCTGAATGGGCAATTTTTTGAGGCTTATTTCAAGCCCCCGGGTTTGGGTGGGATGGGTAGAGCAAAGAGTGGGGCTCCTGGGGCTGGGGAGGGCTGGCAGCCCCCCAGCCTTGCTGTCCCCAGCAGCTCCAGGGGCAGACAAGCCCCATGAGGAGGATGATGTCCCAGGGGTGGGAACCACTGGCTGGGCTGGCAGAGCTGCCCAGGTCCTGCATGGCTTGTGGTGGCTCCTTTGTCTTTCCAAATGTTGGTTTTGGCTCTGGCAGGGCTGGCTGAGAGCACGGGCTGTATTTATGGCCTGTTGTTGTTGCTCCCTGACCCTCCCCCATCAAACACTGGAGCTGTTGCACTTGCTGATGGGTGGCCAAGGACACCTCTTGGCACCATAAAACTGGGCAGAGCCCCCCCCAGGCCTCCTGCCCCAGACAACCTCGTGCTCTGCTTCCAGAGCAGGGTCAGTTCGTGCCTGTGCCACTGACCCTGGGGCCACAAGCCACAATCCCACATGCCCATGAGGTCCATCTTAGGGGTGGTGCTGGACCTGAGCAGCTCTGGGCTGCTCCCAGCAGAGCTGTGCTGGGAGGGTTGAGCAAGGGATGGTCCCAGCAAGGTGCTTGAGCAGCTTTTTGGGTTTTCCCTGGGGTTTTTTCCCTTTCTGCTGCCTTCCCCACGACAGGCAGGGATGTCCCTGTGCAATGTGGGGGGGACCAAAGCCAGCCAAAAACCTTGGGTATGAAACATCTTCATCCATGTAAGCAGGTGCCACATCCCCCCAGGGACACCAGCCCCTCTAGGCTGTCCCTGAGGAAAGGATTGGCTTCATGAGGTGGTGTTGGCTCATGAAGAGCATATTTTTGACCCTCAGCAGCTCCAGGGAGCTGTCTGGGAGGGCTGGTGGCAGCAGTGGAGCCACCACACGAGGCAGGAGGACACAAGAAGTGGCAGCGACGCTCGGCTGAGCCCGACCTGTGACATTGAACCCTGGGTTGGGGGACATGCCTGGTCAGTGCCCCAGGTCTGGGGGAGGCAAAGGAGTGATCCAGCCAGGATCTGGGTGGCACAAGCCCTCTGAGTGCAGGGGACACGTGGGTGTGAGGGTTGGTGACATCTGGCTGTGACATCGGTTGTGTTGGACCCCCCGGCCGAGGAGTGATGGGGAGGAGAGTGGGGGGCTTGGCCCCCCCTTGGCTCTGAGGGCAGTTCTGAGGACAATGGAACTTTCCATCCCCAGATGCTGCACAGGAGCTGTGGTGGGATGGGCTGCACCAGCCGGGGGTGATGGAGAAGCGTTGGCATCAGGGGGGTGGGGGTGACAGTGGGATGCAGGGTGGGCTGGGGGAGAGGGAATGCTCAGCAATCCCTCTCCTTGCTGGAGCCCTTCCTCCAGCCCCTCATCTGCCAGCAGAACTTTCTTTAGTTTCCTTCACGGGTGCTGGTGAAGGATGCTCTTGAGGGATGGGATGGGATGGGATGGGATGGGTGCTGTTCAGGGATGCAGATGCTGCTCCCTCACAGGGAGGCTGGAACTCCTCTGTCCTGGCTCAGTTCTGGCTCAGCCTCTCCTGCTCGCCGGCAATCGGCAGTGCTGGCAGGTCCCACTGGTTTCTGGGTTGGGAAAGGTGGAAAGCTGGTAGAAAACTGGTAGAAAAGGGTCAGGTTGCCCTTTTTGCCCACATGGCCTCGTGGTCCTGCCCTCATCTCGGCGCCGGCTCCTCCGCAGGAGCACGGGAAGGATTTGGGGTGATCATGCTCCAAATCCAATGAACATGTTCTGGCAGCACAGAACCATCAGCTGGGGGAAGGAAAAACCATCACAGCCTCTTATCCACAAGCTGGACTGGAGCTGATCTGGGTTGCAGGAGTTGGGTGGGAAGGGCAGTGCCCCCACAGCCACCACCCTTGGGTCCCTTGTGTGAGCAGAGGGCTTGGAGGGCAACACTTGGCCTTTTTTTGGAAGTTGGGTGGCTCTTCCATGGGGAAAGCCTCTGGTCCCTAGATGTCCCACGAGGGTTTTTCCCACAGCAACAGGAAGGTGGAAACACTTGTCCCTCTGCATCAGGATGATGTTGTGCCACCCCTGCATGCAAAGGCCCAGGTGACTCTGACCTTCTGGAGACCCTCCCGCTATTCCCAACATCTCCAGCCCTCTTGATCCCAAGTTTTGTACTTCCCCCACCCAAAACCTCCACTCCCACTCCACTGCTGTTGCTGTCCCGGGGGGAATTTCTCATTTGTTCACTCTGGAGCAGCACTAAGTGGTTCAATATGTCAGCAGTTGCTGCTGGAATCGGGCAGTAAATGCTAATGGGATATTGGTCTGTGCACCATCCAAAACCCACTGGAAGGGTTTAGTGCAAATTGGATTTGCAAACCTGGCTTGGGTCTCCCTGCCCTTAGCAAGGGGCTCTAATCCCCAGCCAGTGCCTTGGCAAGCTGGCTCCTTCTGGGCCAGAAGGAATTCAGTCTTTCCAGGGAAAAGGGGAGTGAAGATACAGGAGGTTTCCCGTTCCCCAGCGTGGAGGGGGAACCTCCTGTGCCTCCTGAACCATCAGCCCCTCCTGTGCTTCCTGGTCAGGATGATCACAGACTCACAGAGTTGTTCTGGTTAGAAAAGACCTTTCAGATCATCCATCCAACCACTAACCCAGCTCTCCCCAGTCAGTGCTGACCCGTGTCCCTCAGCACCACATCTACAGGGCTTGGAAACACCTCCAGGGCTGGGGATTCCACCCCCTCCCTGGGCAGCCTGGGCCAGGGTTTGAGCCCTTCCAGGGAAGAAGTTTCTCCTAATATCCAATCTAAACCTCTCCTGGCACAACCTGAGGCCATTTCCTCTTGTCCCATCCCTTGTTCCTGGGGAGCAGAGCCCGACCCCCCTGGCTCCAACCTCCTCTCAGCAGCTGCAGAGCCAGCAGGTCTCCCCTCAGCTCCTTGTCTCCAGGCTGAACCCCCAGCTCCCTCAGCTGCTCCTGCTCACACTTGTGCTCCAGCCCCTTCCCCAGCTCCATCACCCTTCTCTGGACACTCTCCAGCCCCTCATTGTCTCTTTTCTCACCCAAAACCTACCCCAGAACTCAAGGTGTGACCTCACCGAGCAGAGGGGGACGATCCCTGCCCTGCTGGCCCCACTGGGGCTGAGACAAGCCAGGATGCTGGTGGCCTTTTTGGCCACCAACACCCCCCAGGTCCTTTTCTGCTGGGCTCTTTCCAGCCTGGAACACTGTGTGGGGTTGTTGTGATGCAAGTGCAGGACCTGGAGCTGGGTCTGGTTGGACCTCAGGCATTTGGGCTCAGCCAGTGATGCAGATGGGTGGTCATTGCTTGGGAGGCACCTGGGGTGCTGGAACTTCTCTGTCCTGCCCCAGCATAGCTCGTGTCTGACTCAGCCTCTCCTGCTGGCTGGGTTAGGGCAGGATTTGTTTCTGTGGGGCTGAGAACAGGAGTTATTGAGGTGGGAGCTGAAGGGACCACACCAGCCCACCAGGGACACGTGGAAAAGCCAGAGGTGGCCACTCTGCTCCCACGGGTGCTCTGGAAAAAGCAGGGAATTCATCATACCTGGAGTCCTCCAAGGGCCATGGTGCTCAGAAGGCACTTTCACAAAGGGGAAACTGAGGCACAGTGACCCTCCTGGGGATCTCACCTGCTGGGAAGGTGCCACAACTCTGGCCAGATCCACAAAGAAGGAAATCCCTAGAAAACAGGGAAGGTGAAAGTGCTGAAAGCTGCTGTGCAGGAGCAGGTGATGCTGCTCATTCCCCTCTGGCATGTTTTTCCCCTCCTGAATGCCACCGAGGGCTTTCTCTTTCTTGGGAAAAGGGATTTTTTGTTGTCCCCTGGGCACCAGTAGCAGCTCCCAGATCCCAGTGGTGTTGAAACCAGCCCAGAGGAAAACACATCTGAGGCCTGGGCTCCATTTTGCTGCCAAAACTGAAGCTTTGAACCGTGTTTCCCGAGGCGTTGGGGTTGTTCAAACAAGCCACAGTAACGAGTTTCCTCTGACAAAACCACCCCTTTTTTGGCATCCCCTGGTTAGTTAGTGTGTGGAGGGGTGGGTTGTCAGTCCCAACAAACAGAGAGGGTTGACATTCAACCTTCAAGTTTTGGCAGAAGGGGGTGGAATTTGGGGCTGGATCAGCAGCGTTGGGTGGTGGGTGAGGCTGTTTCCTGCAGACCAGCACCCCTGGGTGCCCTGGGCTGGGTGGGGGTCCTGCTCCTGCTTTTCTTTTTGTGGACTCATAGAATCATCAAGGTTGGAAGGGACCAATCATCCAGTTCCAACCCCCCTGCCATGAGCAGGGAACCCTCACACCAGCCCAGGTTGCACAAAACCTCCTCCAACCTGGCCTTAAAAACCCCCAGGGATGGGGCATCAACAACCTCCCTGGGTTGCCCAATTCCAGTTCCTCACCACCCTTAGAGTCAAGAATTCCTTCCTAACATCTGCCCTAAATCTCCCCTCAGTTTCCAACCAAATTCCCACCTACTTTTACTGTTTGCCTGGAGTTATCCCTGATTTTCCTGCTAGGTCAGGATCTCGGTGGGTGTGTCTTTATTTCCCCTGCCCATCAGCAAGTGGGGTTTGGCTTCACCAGTGGGATTTGCTGCAGCTTTTACTCTCAACTTGTGGTGGAGACAATTTCACAACCTGCCACCAACCACCCTCTGCTCCAGCTGGTGCCCCCCAGCTATGCCATCCTGAAGCATTAGCTCATCAATTCATCTCTAATTACTCATCTCTTCTTCACGAAGGGCAGCTCTTGCTGCTGCTTAGAACTGCCTGAAGCAGCTTAGAAAGATTTTCTGAGTTGCTCTGGCCTTGCTGACCTCACCAGGGTCAGTGGAGACACTGAGGACCATCCCACCCATGGCCAGATGGGATCTTGAAACACTTCGGCTCCACGACTACCTGGAGTGAGGTCGTGGTTGGCTTCTTCTCCCTGGTGAGCAGAGGGTAGGACAAGAGGAGATGGGGTCAAGCTGGGTATTGGAGAACATTTCTGCACAGAAAAGAGTTGGGGAGGCCTTGGAGTCCTTGCCCAGGGAGGTGGTGGAGGCACCATCCCTGGAGACGTTCAAAAATAGGGGTAGACGTGGAGTTTCATAAGATGCTTTAGTGGTTGGGGGTTGTAGGGTTGGGCTTGAGGATCTTGAAGGGCTTTTCCAACCTTGGTAATCCTATGGATCTGTGCTTTTTAATTAGGAAGAAAAAGAGAGATCCTCAAAATGGGATTTTTAGGATGGATTGATTTGTTGGGTTTTTTTGCAGAACTGGGGGGAGGGTTGGGAAGGGGCAGGTCTCAACCAGGTGCCCCTGGACCTCCCTCCAGGTACCACCCAGGTGTCTGGAGCTGCCAGGCAGGGTGAAAACACTGCAGTGAGTCCTGCTGCATTTCAACTGCTGCCTTTTTTTTTCCTGCTTTTTTTATTATTTATTTCTTTAAAAAAATGCTGATGGGAATTGCAGCTGCGTTTCTGCCTCCGGTGAGTGATGGAGAGAGTGGGGAGGGTGGGAGCAGCAGGGTGGGAGCTGAGGGCAGCTGAGGGAAAGGGGGGGGGAGGCAACTGCTTTATTTGCCCTCATGGGGGTCACAGGAGCTTGGTTTGACCTGGCAGGGACCAGCCCAGCCCAGCCCCATCCCGGAGATCCATCAGGAATCTCTGCACTCGGGTGGTGGCTGCAGCAGGATTCCTTCCTCTGGGTGCATATCCCTGCTGGTTAATGCCATGAAAACCCCTGTGAGGCCTCCAGGGAAGGAATCAAAGGCTCCAGAGCTGCCTCCCCAGGTGCCCAGGTAGGTCACCTGCCTCCCCACAGCCTCCCCACGCCGGGACACACGGGAGGGAAATCCCATGGGAAGGATGGGAGATGGTGAGGTTGGTCAGCAACATCCTAGTGCCTGGCTTGGGAGGGCTCCTTGGAGGAGCCCAAGCTCAAAATGTGGGGCTGGGGCTGCTCCAGGGGGGTGGGGAAGGCCAGCAGGTCATGGTCTGGGGGGCTCTGTGGGGGTCTCTGGGCTGGGGGCACTGGGGTGGTGCTGGATGCTGGTGCTGTTCCCCCCCCCCCAGGGACTTCTCATGGTTCTCATGGGGATCTTCCTCCCCTGTGCTCCATCCCCTCATGGAAGAGCTTCCAAACCCCCTCACTTGGTGCTTGAACCTCCTCAGTGCTGGGGTCTGGCTGTGCTGGGGTGCCCTGTGCTTGTTTCTCCCCCCCCCCAGCTCTACAGTCCATGGGGAGAAGGAGATGCCCTTCCATGAGACACAACATCAGAGGTGCCATGGGATGCAGGATGTGGGATGCATGTGTGGCTCCAAACTTCCCTGGGGCCATCTCCAGTGCCCAGCCCAGCTGGTTGGGTTCCCCAAAGACCAGAAGGAGGGAAGATGGTGGGAACAGGGATGGAGGGGCTGCTCCATCTGATGGCAGCTCCAGCTCAACTCAGCAGGGCTGGAAAGCTGCAACCCCATCCCCAGTGCTCCCACTGGGACAGAGTTCCCTGGCAAAGCTGTGGAATGTTCCATGGAATCTCCAGGACATGGAATGTGTCCACCACCCCCAGCATCACTCCTGGGTTCACACCCCCC